TAAATCTATCTATCTATCTATCTATCTATCTATCTATCTATCTATATATATATATATATATATATATATATATATATATATATATATATTCTTTGTTTAAATCTATCTAGCTATCTATATCAATCTGTTCATATCTTTTCTCTATCAGTGTTTTTTGTTTAAATCTATCTATCTATCTATCTATCTATATATATATATATATATATATATATATATATATATATATATATATATACATACATATATCCTTCTTTGTTTAAATCTATCTAGCTATATATCAATCTGTTCATATCTTTCTCTATATTGTTTTTCTGTTTAAATCTATCTATCTATCTATCTATCTATCTATCTATCTATCTATCTATCTATCTATCTATCTATCTCGGAAATGTTACATACTATTTCTACTTGTTAATATCTATGTCCGTATACAACAGGTTTGTTTCTCTTTCGTCGCCCTTTTCTCTCCTTTCTTTAATACCTACGTAAATCGGTGTGTGTGTAAATAAATTTAATAGGCGATGCGATGCGTAGTGTGTTTCGTCTTATTTTTCAGAACACACATACACACATATACTCTCATACACATATATACATACATACATATCACAAATGTACATACACACATACGCACACTTAGACCCACACCTACGTACATGCACATACATGTACAAGATATACGCTAAGATATATATACACATTCGTGATATATCTTTAAAAAATTAGGAATTTCCATGTGTCCGGCATTGTCTTTCTCCATTTCACTGATCGCAGATTATTTACGTTCGTCGACTTTCTTCGTTTCTTTCTAAGCTTGTTGCGCATGCGCCGTAATGGCCACTGCGTGATAAGCTTCAATTTAATCAACAAGAGTCACAACAATACTCGACACTACTCGAGTGAGGAGGATTGCATTTCCATGTTTGGAAGAAAACGAAAATTTTAGTTAATTTCATATTTACATGACTTACAAGCGAGATGTAATGAGATTGGGGACATGGATAACATCAGAGATTATTAATCAGAATTAAGTTATAAGAATATGTATGGACAGCCTAGAAGAGATAGATAGATAGATAGATAGATAGATAGATAGATATTTATGAACAGACTGAGATACGGTCTGTTCATAAACAGATAGACAGATATGAACAGAGTGAGATAGATAGATAGATTTAAACAGACTAAGATAGATATGAACAGAACGACAGACACACACACACACACACACACACGCATATATATAATTATTTATTTGAAGATTATAACATAAATATGTTATAAAAATAGCAATTTTGTTTCAACACTTCTGTTGTCTTATGAAGTGATGGTGTTGAATATAGAACCTACACTAGAAGTGTTGAAACAAAATGGTTACTTTTGTAGTGATTTTATAGCATATTTATGTTATAATTTTCGAATAAATAATTATATCTGCTCTAATCTGTATTGAGCACTCTTTTAAGAATAGTATTTGTTGGTTATTGGAGTTTATTCCGTATACACCAATCCTATACTTGTATATATATATATATATATATATATATATATATATATATATATATATATATATATATATATTCGAACTATTGTCCTCATCTTTGTTGCCATATTTATTACAACGTTTCGGCCTTTCAGTATCTGTCTATATTTCTGAGATGAGGTATTATTTACATTATTCGGACTATTGTTCTCATCTTTGTCGCCATATTTATTACAACGTTTTGGCCTTTCAGTATTTCTGAGATGAGGTAATATGTACACTATTAACATTAATCGGACTATTGTCCTCATCTTTGTTGCCATATTTATTACAACGTTTCGGCCGTTGTACGCTCCGGTCTTCTTAAGGTGGTTGGAATGTCGAACTGAACCCTTTATTTCGCTCACTGGGGTAGACTGTTCTAGTTCCACGTGCGATGTTTAATGGATGTCAGTTATCAGTTATCTCCTGTTAATTCCCCTCTCCAAGTTCACCACTGCCTTAACTGGGTATTGAACTCACTCTCTTCGGGTCCTGTCACTGGATCAAACTAACGCTTTTATCCACTGTGCCATGTGTCCATGTGTCCTTGTTATAATTAACAGTTGACATTTCTAGAATACGTAATGAGGAAAGAGGGCTTGGACAATTAAATACTCACAAGAAAGATTGAAAGCAAAGGGAAAATAATGCACAAGTTACCTAGCGATCTGCTAAAATGGATTATGGGACAAAGTTTAGTAGAGATGGCAAAATTTATTAAGTGCTACAAAGGACAGGGAATTGTGAAGAGTCTTGATTGCCAACGCCCAGAAGGAACACCAACACGTAGGAAAAGATAATTGCTAGAACGTTACTGAATACGAGAGACGAACTGACGAGCACCGGAGAATAGAATGGCTGAAACGTCTGACAGTAAAAACAATAGTTTGAACAAATAAAGGCCATAATAACAGCATTTGCAGAGGATTATCCTGATATTAACAATTCCACAGCTTCATTGTAATAGTATTTTAACCTGGAAAAATTACCATTTTATGTTATTATATATCAACGCATAGCACTAAGCGCTGGTTACTTTATAATAACAAAATTAATAATAGCCTTTGCCAGGGTCTGACATTAAGGTCTTTTCCACAAGCTGAAAAGTTACGGTGTCTCCGGATACTTCTTTGAAATGATCTAGTCTTTTCTATCAAATCGTGAAATGAGAGTTATCCTGAGTGGCCACTCGTCTAGATCCTTTCATACTAAGACCGGTGATCCTAGGGCTCCATCTTTGATCCTACTCTGTTTTTAATTTTCATTAATGACCTTCCTGTTGATATCAGCTCTCAAATTGCTATCTATGCTGATAACACAACTATTTACTCCTGCCTCGATCGTAAGCCGGGGTCAAAATGGTAGCCGATGTCCCCAACGACCTCAAGTCCGTAGTTAACTGAAGAAGAATATGACTTGTTTATTTGAACTCCTCCAAAACTAAAATTTTCTCCATTAATCATCTGAAAGACCCCTTGCTGCCTTCCATCAGCATGGCTGATGCTATCCTCCAAGAAAGTGACATTGCGCCTTTTCGGGCTCGTTCTCTCACTATGTAGGGCAAGGGGGTTTTCCTCTCCAGAATCTATCTGACATAAGTCTACCATTCGTCCATGCTTAGAATATCGCTGCCACTTATGGTCTGAAGCTCTGCTTTTTACTTGATCTCCTTGATAAAATCTAAAGAAGCAGTAATAATATTGATCCTGATCTGGCATCTCAGCTTCAGTCTCTTCCACACTATCATAAGGTTGCCTCCTTGTGTATTTTCTATAAATGTTTTCATGGTAATTATTCGCATGAGCTGTTCGCTATTCTACTTAGACTTTTTATATTTAACCGCAGTACTCGACTGGCGTCTAGATCTCATCAATTTACAGTTGAGCTGGCCAGATGTAGCCGTAAATTCTATGCTAATGGTTCCTTTTCTCGCACTTCTCGCTTGTGGAACTCTCTTCTGGTTTCATTCTTTCCAGCCAACTGCAAACTACAAAATTTTAAATGTAATATCAATCGCTATCTACTGTCCCTCTGATTACTCTTTTATCTTCCCGCTTATTATTAATGTCTTTGTTCCTAATTCTTCCACACCCGGGAACACACTGTGTTTTACTGGCATCACTGCATATCTTGGGGTGATTCCGATTTTAAGAAAATGCTAAGGACCGACATATTATAGTGTCTTTCAAAAAGGTATATATACAGGAACCTGCAAGAATAGATATACAGTAAGTATTATACCAGAGTTGCAAGTGGTATAACATAAAAGCGAAGACTTGATAAGTTTATTATTGTTAAAGAAACTACATCAACAAAAAAGGTTACAGTGCACCAAGCAAAAATAACTCGACATGATCATCAAGAGGGCGAGAAGAGCGTTGTCCTGAAAAGGACAGTTTTGTAATCGGTGATGAAGAGAGTTGACCTGAAAAAGGCGGTTTTGTAATGGGTGAAGAGCGTTGTCCTGAAAGGGACAATTTTGTAATCACTGGAGAGTGTTGTCCTGAAAAGAACAGTTTTGAAGTCAGTGAGGAGTGTTGTCCTGAAAAGGACAATTTTTTAATCGGTGAAGAGTATTGTCCTGAAAAGGACAATTTTGTAATCGGTGAAGAGTGTTATCCTGAAAAGGACAATTTTTTAATCGGTGAAGAGTATTGTCCTGAAAAGGACAATTTTGTAATCGGTGAAGAGTGTTGTCCTGAAAAGGACAGTTTTGGAATTGGTGAAGAGGGATGTCCTGAAAAGGACAATTTTGTAATCGGTGAAGAGCATTGTCCTGAAAAGGACAGTTTTGGAATTGGTGAAGAGCGTTGTCCTAAAAAGGACAGTTCTGTAATGAGTGAAGATTGTTGTCCTAAAAAGGACAGTTTTGTAATCTGTGAAGAGTGTTGTCCTGAAAAGAACAGTTTTGTAAAAGGTGAAGAGTGTTGTCCTGAAAAGAACAGTTTTGTAATCGGTGAAGGGCATTGTCCTGAAAAGAACAGTTTTGTAATTTGTGAAGAGCGTTGTCCTGAAAAGGACAGCTTTGTAATCGGTGAAGAGTGTTGTCCTGAAAATGACAGCTTAATGTATATTGTTGATGCTGACTGGAGCGGCTGCCGATATCGAGCTGTGGATGATGCTGGCTGGCTGACTAGAACAGATATTACATTTTGACCATCGACATCTTGACCGCTTGTTATTTATTCCGGTCTCCCCACTGAGATGAGATGTTGCACATGTCCTGATTTTTTTTTTGGAAGCCCTAGCGCTTACACTCGGGCCGGATACAAAATTTCCCCGTTGGTTGCACTGTCCTCTTTAGCGACTACTGATACCTCCTCACTAGCGAAATGAGAGAGTACAGTTGTTCCCCAGGACCTTAGAGTATTTATTTTCGTCGGCTGCGCCTCTGTCTGTGGACAGAGGCCACAAATGCGTCGCGTTCTGCCCGATGATAAAGATTCAACTGAGAGATGATAAGCATCCCCCTGGTATGGTCCGCTTGTTATTTACCACGGTTTTCCCACTGAGATGACATGTGACACAAAGTCGAGTTTTATGTGGGGGAAACGAACGCGTACATTCAGGCCAAGTACAAAAATTCGCCAATATGATCCACCTCTCTTATGCAATGAGAGGGTGCAGTCTCGAGCAGCTGTTGCCCAGGACGAGGAAACCCAGCATTATTTTCCTCAGCTACGACACTGTCCGCAGTCAGAGGCCACAAAAGTGTCTCACTCTTCCCGAAGAAAGAGACACAACTGAGGGATTATACGCCTCCAACGGCAGGGCCGTGGAACGGTAGTATTTACCCACTGAGACGGGATATGACACAGGTCGATTTTTAGGTGAGGGAGGCGTGCGCGTACACAGAGGCCAAGAACAAATATTCCCCAGTCTCCGCAACGGTCGATTACTCTGGCGTCGATGGCGAGCACCTATCATCCTCTCTTGAGCCATGAGAGGGGGGTGCAGACCTTAATCTGCAAAAATGTAAAAAAAAAAAAAATGTAATGTCAATCGTTATCTACTGTTCTCCTGATCACTCGTTTCACTTCCGACTCATTATAAATTTTTATGTACCTAATCCGTCTACACCATGTAACCCCTTGTGTCTTAGTGACTTTATTGCGTTGCATGGGGTGATTCTGATTTAAAAAAAAAAATTAAAACGATTTGGCTCAAATGTTAAAGTTGATACTTGTGAACTCAAAGGTTCATATCTATCTATCTATCTATCTATCTATCTATCTATCTATTTCAGTCTGTTCATATCTATCTATTTTTCTATCTATTTTCACATCTATCTATCTATCTATCTATCTATCTATCTATCTATCTATCTATCTATTTCAGCCTGTTCATTATATATATATCTATCTTTTTTATTATTATCTATCTATCTATCTATATCTATCTATCTATCTATCTATATCTATCTATCTATCTATCTATCTCAGTCTGTTCATTTATCTATCTATCTATTTCAGTCTTTTTATCTATCTATCTATCTATCTATCTATCTATCTATCTATCTATCTATCATATATTTCAGTCTGTTCATTATCTATTTATCTATCATATTATCTATCTATCTATCTATCTATCTATCTATCTATCTATCTATCTTTCAGTCTTTTCATATCATTATATCTATCTATCTATTTATCTATTCATTATCTATCTATCTATTTCAGTCTGTTCATTATCTATCTATCTATCTATTAAGTCTTTTCATATCTATCTATCTATCTATCTATCTATCTATCTATTTCAGTCTGTTCATTATCTATCTATCTATCTATCTATCTATCTATCTATCTATTTCAGTCTTTGTTCGTATCTATTTCAATCTGTTCATCTATCTATCTATCTATCTATCTATCTATCTATCTATCTATCTATCTATCTATCTCAGCTGGTCACATACATGTTTTCTCTCGTTAATCTTGTGTTTGCCCTGTTCTTCAAATAATCTAACAATCATATTTGCTAATTGTTCGGGTGATCTCTTCCCTACGGTACCTTAAAAAAAGTTCGGAGTCAAATAAAATGTTAGGTATGCGAGATTTTGGTTTTAATCAGGCTGTCCGACGATAAGTTTGCCAACCGGAGAGAATCTTAGACGGGGCACAGTCATTTTTTTAAAGAATATTAAACAATTAAATAAAAGCAAAACCAATTGATCTAGCGAGCGTTACTAACAATCATTGATTATTGATACCTTTGCTATTTTTAACGCTGTTATACACGAAAGCATTCGTCATATATTTATTGATTTATTCACTTGCTCGAAATATCCTTTTCATCAGTGACACTTAAGTGAGATCGAATTGATTTTCTATTCTTATTTCTACGGTATTCTGTTCGTAAGTAAATTTGACACCAACGGATACGAAGCGACTTGCAAAAGATTGCAAATTGTAAAACAACTGAGACAACTATCTGGGTTTGCTGTGTCAGTCACGGCAAAATACTGTGATCATCCTACAGTTTCATTTCAAAGATTATAAACAATTTTCGCGGCATAGAACTTCTCAGTAGTATATATATATATATATATATATATATATATATATATATATATATATATATATGACACAGCAAACACAGATAGTTGTCTCAGTTGTTTTACAATTTGGCTCCTGAAATATCAATTTCAGTTGAGCCCTCTGGTGACGAGGTGTGGGTTGGTAAACAGTGACTATTATAGCTATATAGCGAGACTCTTCGCAGATGGGAATTGAGTCACTCTCGGTCACTGGGCGTGTTTCTAAAAATAAATACGCTAAAAAATTCACTTTCATCCCTACCGTGCGCCGACGGCTTAATGGTTAGAATCTCCGACTGACACAATTCAGGTTTCGATCCTAGCTAGAGGCAACCGGATGTCTAGCCACACTGATGAAAAACAAACGAAACAGTCATTATATATATATATATATATATATATATATATATATATATATATATATATATATATATATATATATATGTATGCAAAACTAGGTAATCCGTATGGGTAGAACCAAGGAAGATGATATCCAGAGAGCTCAATGTAAATTCAGAGCAAATGAATTTGAATAAAAACAGACCACTTTAAGGTTCCATATACTAAATCATTTCAATCTTTGGAAGTAAAGGGCTGTGGTGAAATAATTTATTACATGGAACCTTAAAGTAGTCTGTTTTTATTCAACACACACACACACACACACACACACACACACACACACACATACACACACACACACATATATATATATATATATTATTTACCTTCATTTGTAGAGTTTTCTTTTCGTTTTTTCTTTTGTTAAACGAATGACCATAATTGACAAATATGTCGCATAGATCAATGGAGAAATACTTAATCCTGACTCCCATTACGCACATTAGAGTCCTTATTTATAGTTTAATAAATCTAATTTTATTTACTAGAAGAAAGCACTTGAGGTAACGCAAATGTGGTTCTACAAAAGGATGCTGAGAATGCTAACATGTTAGCAACGACGAAGCTTTAAGGAAAATGGAAACCAAAAAGAAAATTAAACTTAAAATAATGAAAAGCAGTTGAAATTAGGAAAGAATTTGGCACTGAAAAGACATATTGGCGAGAGAAGAAGAGGAGCGATTGACTTGTCCAATAGACTTGTGCATTTGATTGGCTGAACCGTGATTATAAGCAAAGCCTTACTTAGAGCGACAAGAGACGGGAAGAGACGGGGTTTGTCACGTTCTGAAGCGACACATAGAAGAAAAAAAAAGAAATAGAACAAAAAAAAGTAAAAGAAGAAAAAGTCGTAGAGGAAGAAGTAGAGGAAGAAATAAAAGAAGGAGTAGACAAAGTCACAGAAGGAGAAGAAGCAGAAAAAGAAAAAGAAGCAGACGAAGATGAACGAAAAGTAAAAGGAGAAGAAGAAGAAGAAGTGAAATAACAAGAAGAATGAGAAGAACAAGAAGTAAAAAGACGAATTAAAAGAAAAAGTAAAGGAAGTAGAAGTAAAGGAAGTAGAAGTAAAAGTAGTAGAAGTAAAAGAAGAAGGGAGAGGAGAAGTAGAAGAAAAACGAGGTAGGAGAAAAAGAAGTAAAAGTAGTAGTAGAAGTAGAAAAGAAGGTGAAGGCGGCTAAACGGAACGTAGCTGGCCATTCACTATTCCATCGCTATTTTCAGAATAAAAAGAAAAAGAAAAAGAAGAAGAAGAAGAAAAAGAAGTAGAAAAAAGGAAGTAGAAGAAGAAATACAAGAAGTAGAAGTAAAAGTAGTAGAAGAAAAAAAGTAGAAGGAGGAGGAGAAGTAGAATAAAAACGAAGTAGAAGTAACAGAAGTAATAGTAGTAGTAGTAGTAGAAAAAGAAGAAGAAAACGGCTACTTAAATGCTACTTTCAGAAGAAAAAGATGATGAAGAAGAAGAAGAAAAAGAAGAAAAAAGATGAAGAAGGACAACTAAAAGCAGTAGAAGTAAAAGACGAATTAAAAGAAGAAGAAAAAGAAGTAGAAGAAAAGGAGGCAGAAGAAGTAGAAGAAGAAACACAGGAAGTAGAAGTAAAAGTAGCAGAAGAAAAAAAGTAGAAGGAGGGGGAGAAGTAGAATAAAAACGAGGTAGAAGAAAAAGAAGAACTAAAAGTAGTAGTAGTAGTAGTAGTAGTAGTAGTGGTTGAAAAAGAAAAAGACGGCTAGACGGAACGTTGCTGGCCACTCAATATTTAAATGCTACTATCAGAAGAAGAAAAAGAAGAAAAAGACGGCGAGACGGAAGTTGCTTGCCATTCGCTCTTCCATCGCTATTTTCAAAGCAAATCTTCAGTCAAGTTTCATTCCGTATTTCTCCCAGTTCAGACCTTCACATCTAGATCTCATCATGTCACATGATTCTCTCAGCCCCGATTTGTTTTTCATAAGACATGTTTCTTCGTGGAACAGATTTCGCAAAGATGCTTCTTTGATCACTAGGATCTTAATCGTTTCAAATCTAGGGTCAATCGTTATCTATCCTACATATTCTCATAAGCACGTCTTACTTCTCCTTTTTATACACCTACAACAAAAGTGGTTGGTGAAACTCTAACTTGACTGGCTCTTGAGCCATGTATCTGGTGATCAATAGTATAAAATATTCAGTTACTTGTGAAAGAGAAATAATGGTAGTTACGTTATTTACTAATGAATTCCATTGACTGTCCCCTTTTCATATGGATTAAATAGTTTCGTATCATTATGAAGATTTAGAACCAGAAAACCTTTTTATAATATGAATGTAGGTTGTACTATTTAGGGTAGGTTTGATTTGATTGACTGATTTGTTTTTTTTACAGCGTATCAATCTTTTGCAGGTTATTTAAAACCCAAAAAAATATTTGTAATGGTTTTTGAGAGATAATAATGATTTATGGATATATTCTACTAATTAACCCATAGGTGGGGAGAAGGGATATATTCATATCTTTCTCAAACGTATTTGTGCGGAGGTGAATATAACGAACCCGATTGGAATTGGAACTCTGCTCTCAAGGCTTTATTCATTATATGAGTGTCATGGCGAAGTAGTGTTAGCTTTTGATTCTCACAGCTTCCAAAACTGCCTTTGTTCTACCTTTAATCTACGCCATTTATGAAAATTATGGCGACAGCAGGAACATTACGATAGTTTCATCCAATTTTCTGCTATTATTCAGTCCAAATAGAAATGGAAAGAAAATCTTTTTTTCTGATTTGCTTAGAAATTCTTCATTCTGTTTTTCTTCTGACCGCTTTTTTTTAGTCTCCATTTCAGTTTTTCAGTATTTCGATCGTCCTTTTCTCCTATTATCATTGCCTTCTTTCTTTCTTTCTTTCTTTCTTTCTTTCTTTCTTTCTTTCTTTCTAACCAGGACTGTTCACATCTATCTATTTCAGTCTATTCATATCTATCTATCTATCTATCTATCTATCTATCTATCTATCTATCTATCTCAGTTTGCACATATCTATCTATCTATCTCAATCTGTTCATATTTATCTATCTCTCGGTCTGTCTATTCATATCTATCTATCTATCTATCTCACTTTGTTCATATCTATCTATCTCAGAGTCAGTCTATTCATATCTATCTATCTATCTATCTATCTATCTATCTATCTATCTATCTCAGTTTGTTCATTTCTATCTATCTATCTATCTATCTATCTATCTATCTATCTATCTATCTATGTATCTCAGTTTGTTCATATCTATCTATCTATCTATCTATCTATCTATCTATCTATCTCAGTTTGTTCATATCTATCTATCTCTCGGTCTGTCTATTCATATCTATCTATCTATCTATCTATCTATCTATCTATCTATCTCAGTTTGTTCATATCTATCTATCTATCTATCTATCTATCTATCTATCTATCTATTGTACACCGTCGCAATTAGATCTCTTTCTGATTTATTCTGAATGCTGGTCGGATGTGAATGCCACGAAGGCATTGAACGAAGTAACAAAAATCGTTTCCTGTGCATTAGGCTCCACGCATCACATCCGGTCTACAAAGCGAGCTCCAGCAGTGGCCAATCGTGTACGCTCTCGGAGGAAAAAGGATGTGCCCCTGGGGATTTCCAGGTCCGCTTGAAAGCAGGTCTCTGAGAACGACCAGAACTGTTGCGGCCTGGCGCGAACTCTGGCCGTCACGCATGGCGCTGCTGCTTCTCCCACCCACTCACTCACTACCTATCTATCTATTTATTTATATATCCTCGTCCTTTCTAAATCCAGCATTTTATTTCTATTCGTATATTCCATCCCTCACTCACTTTTGTGTCTCCCTCTCTCTTTGTCTCGCCCGATCTATCTATCTATCTATCTATCTATCTATCTATCTATCTATCTATCTATCTATCTATCTATCTCAGTCTGTTTCTAACTGTCTATCTATCTATTTCATGTTGTTCCTGTTTACTAACATTTACCGACATATCCAAGTATATTCCTCCATCTTTTTAGACGTTCTTTGAGCGATCTAAGAGCCTACTTCGACATCCTACGAGAAATGCAATTGCTGATCCTATTTTCTCCACAAGGAATTCTACAAGAAATCTAAGCAAATTCCACCTTTCGCTATCGTCATTCTTCAAGAACTCTCGCTAGATTCCTACATCCTCACTTGGAATTCTACAATTAAACTTGAATTCTATTCCCTATCGTCGATATTCTTCAAGAAATCAAACTCAGACCTATCTTCATGGATCAAGAAATTAAACTAGAAATCCACTTCGACAATTCCAATCCGTTCGATGCCGTCAGCATTTGATCGGCTGACCTTGTTTTCATCTAATTAATTAAATACCTTTCATCTTATTTACATTCCCGACTAAACAGGCTTGGAAAGAAGCGTCAATTTAAACAAATTTGAAATTCCAAAATAAAAAAATAAAACGAATTTACATTGTCTTAGTCTATATTTCTGAGATGAGGTATTATGTACACTATTTACATTATTCGGACTATTGTCCTCATCTTTGTCGCCATATTTATTACAACGTTTCGGCCTTTCAGTATCTGTCTATATTTCTGAGATGACGTACTATGTACACTATTTACATTATTCGGACTATTGTCTTCATCTTTGTCGCCATATTTATTACAGCGTTTCGGCCCTTCAGTATCTGTTTATATTTCTGAGATGAGGTATTATGTACATTATTTACATTATTCGGACTATTATCCTCACCTTTGTCGCCATATTTATTACAACGTTTCAGCCGTTGTACACTCCAGCATTCTTCAGGTGTTTGGAATGTCGAACTGAACCCTTTATTTCGCTCACTGGGGTAGACTGTTCTAGTTCCACGTGCCATGTTTAATGGATGTCAGTTATCAGTTAATTTCTGTCTGAAAGTTCTCCACTGCCTTAAAGCGATAATAAGAACAAAAATTGCAATATGAGCTCCGGTAAAAACATGATATGATAACAGCAAAAATTGCAATATGAGCACTGGTAAAAGACATTAGGTTTATAATACCCAGAAATTCATACACATGGCACAGTTGATAAGGGCGTTGGTTAGATCCAGTGACAAGACCCAAAGAGTGTGAGTTCAATACCCGGTTAAGTCAGAGGGAAATTAACAGGGGATAATTGATAACTGATATCCATTAAACATGACACGTGGAACCAGTCAGCGAATATATATATATATATATATATATATATATATATATATATATATATATAATAAAGAGAGAGATATATGAAAAACTGAGATAGATAAAAAGATAGATGGTATTTATCAATTCACCCACAGGAATTGAATGTGGCACAAGGCCTTTTTAATGTGGGTATGTCTGAGCCCGTAGGCCCAGCCAAAAATAAAACCCATCTAAACCCGTCCAAGCGGGCTAGTTCCGTCAACCTCCCTGAACGAAACCCTACCCTTCGGCAGAGCCTCGTCCGGGTTCCTCTCTGCAAGCAGAGAGTTCGACAGACACCCGGCTCGGCAGCTCACAAAGCACAGATACTACACTTTGATCCTAGCCACCGGGCCGAGCGGGTATTCTTTTTATGGATAAAAAAGATAGATATGAACAGAATGAGATAAACAGATAGAAAGAAAGAGACTGAGACAGATAGACACACACACACATATATATATATATAGAGAGAGAGAAAAGTGAAAATTGGTGTATGGAGGGCGAGAGAGAAATAATGAAGATTGAGAGAGATAGTAAAAGAGACAAGTTGAGTTAGATATAAACAAATCGACATAGATATTTACAAAGGTGATTACCTGGATAAGTACAAAAGAGAGAGAGAGAGAGAGAGAGAGATGTGAACAAAGTGAAAGGTTGATATAAGCAGATTTAGATAAATAGACAGATCGATAGATCGATGAATATAAATACAATCAGATCGTCTGTTATTAACAATCTTAGACAGAAAGAAACCGTCGCAAAGACAAAAAGTAAAAAGAAAGAAAGAAAGAAATGAAACGGAAGCTGAAAATAGAAGTTCAACTTTTTTTCTTTTTTTATTTCCGCCATCTTTTTTTTTTCCTTTTCCTTTATTTAACTCCTATTTTTAGACAGAATTGAATCGCTGAGAACAAATTCGATCTTTTCTCTGATGACGTCGTTGAATAAAATCGTTGCGTCGGATCAAGTAATAAGATTCCTGATTAGCGGAAGGGGGAGAGAACATTCTGCGAAATTGGTTAAGAATATGCGCCTTTCAATTTCTGGAAATGCGTCATCTCCCAGCAGCCAATATACAAATGTTTCGATTATGTTTCAGAGTATCTCCATATTCGCCCACTTCTCCAAGATTTACTTTTGTTCCACAAAAATACATATTTTGACCGTTTGTTGGCCAATAAACTTTTGATTACAGGATTTTCTAAAATGACCGAGATATCCGCCATTCTGTAAAAATGAACTACTTTGATCGACGGACACCAATAATAAAATTTTATTTCTTTCGAGATGAAACCTTGTTAATCATTATTATTAATTTTAAATTAGTATTTACTTATCTTTTTTTTTTTTAATCTTTTTTTATTATACAAATATCTGCCAGCCATTTTTAATTTTACTAGTATATATTACACCTATTTTTTTAAGCATTTCACCCCAAGCACAGCAATAAAACCACTAAGACTCAAGGGGTTACCGAGTGTGAGAGTATATGAGAAAAGGAAAAAAATATTAAGGAGCGAGAACGATAAAAAAAACAGAAATCAAGAAGACAGAAGATAACTATTGACAATGCATTTAAATTTTTGAAGACCAAATTTGACTGGAAAACAAGAAGCCAGAAGAGAGTTCCACAAGTGAGAAGTACGAGAGAAGAAACTACTGGCATAGAACATACAGTTACATCTGACTATTTCAACTATTTCTATTGTAAAATGATGGGACCTAGCTGCCAATCTAGTACTGTGCTTACATTCATAAAGTCGAAAAGAGAAAAGCTGATCAGAACAATTAAAATGAAAATATTCATAGAAAAGACACAGGGAAGCCACTTACGGTGCTAAAAAAGTGAATAAAACCGAGATGCCATGTCACGACCGATAATATTTCAAATTCTTCTTTGTATATGTTATGGTAATTTACCCACGCACGCATGGACTCTCTCAGCTATAAATAGGAGCAGGTACTGCCTTTTGGAGTGAGGGAAGTTTCTAGCAGTCACCTCTGACAGTCGGGCCGAACATTCTTGCTGTAACACTCTGTTTGTATATGTTTCTCTTACTATTTCTGTTAATATATTTGTTTAACTCAGTTCCTCTCTTTGTATCTTTATCTCTGGCCCTAACAAGGCCACGACCGTATTTTATCAAGTATCGCTAAATACATAGCAGAAGCACCAGACCAGTTGTGAAAACAATATTCAATGCATGTATATATGGTAAAGTTATAAATGTGTCTGGCAAGAAAGGTTGTCTAGAATGGCCCAATGAACCAAAATTCCTAGCAGCAGATTTAGCAATTGATTCAAGATCTTTCCTCTTCAAGTCAGCGGAAAATATTAGCCCAAGAAGGCGTAATGAGTCACTCTCCTGTAGGCTAGAATCAGTCATACTGTTGGACGACAAAAAAGGTTCTCCCAGATGATTAAAAGAAAGCAGTTTTGTTTTGGAGGCGTTAAAATTAACAAGTCATTTCTTGCCCCAGTTAGCAACAGATTGAAAGTCTTCTTTTTTTTTTTTTTAAATTAGCTGCCAATTTGACCCTATTGAATCGATCAGACTTCCAATTAAGACAGGAATATATAGTTGTGACCTCAACATAGATACCGTGTTGGTAATTGATGACATCGGGAAGATCGTTGATGAAAATATAAGTTCCAGGATAGAGGCATGGGGAATAGCCACATTAATGCAAAAAAGATCTTGAAGAGTGGCCGCTGCAGACAACATTCATTTCGCTATTTGATAAAATCGTATGAAAGAAAAATGCCTCCATAAATACCACCATCTTTAAACATGTGAAAAAGATCAAAATTCCCAAACTCTGTCAAACGCCTTCGAGATATTCAAAGCAACAAATTGACGTTCACCATTCTTATCTACAAATTGACTACTTCAACGATAGCCGTTCGAACATCAGCAGTTGACCCAGAGAAGTGTAACCCATATTGATTGTCGGAAAGAAGACTCGGCGCGGGAAGATGCCTAATTCAGAGTTCATTAGAATTGCTAGTCAGTCAGTTATGTGACATGCGTGATACACGCTTAGGCGATCATGTATCTTTCGATACATGACTGTCGAAACAGATTTTTCCCCGCAATAGGTTGCCATTTCTTTCTGTGGTAGACCAGCTGTCATCCAAGGCTATTTATCTATAGCTGGGGGGTGGGGTAGAAGAGCATTCACACCATTCCCAAGGATATTAGCACGTAAGTGAATGTAATGAATTCGACTGGAATTCGAACTCGGCTCTCCGATTCCTCAATCCATTACTCCACCGTACCGCCTAAATAATTATAAACCCCCGAATATATCCAAAAATACTCATAAAAATGAGAAACAGCAAGATGTAGAAACAACAAAATGAGTCTTATTTATTATCTGGTTTTATTATGATGCTGCATCACTGAAGCGATCATGTATCCTTCGATACATGACTGATGAGGTAGATTTCTTCCCGCAGTAGATTGCCATTTTTTTCTGCCGTAGACCAGTTGCCATCCAAGGCTATAGAACCCAGTCTGTCCTGCTATTTACCCATAAATGGGGGTGGGTGGGTGAAGAAGAGGATTCATATCTTTCTCAAGGGTATTAGCACCTAAGTGAATGTAATGGACCTGACTGGAATTCGAGCTCGTCTCTCCGATTTCTCAATTCGAGCCGCTATCCATTACTCCACCGTTAGGACTTTCCTAAAAAGAGGTAGGAGTCTTAGAAGAATCAGACACTTCGCCTGAGTTCTTAAAGACTGGAACGACAGAGGAAGATTGTCAACAAGCATGGAAGCAAGTAAGGTATTTATTGTAGAGTTTAAAGTGAACAGGGG